ACTTACAAGGTTGAAATATGAGAGACTTGTTTAGAAAGATGTGGAGAACCTGGATTGATGTCTGGTCCCTCTCAGTCTCAAGAGCGAACGAACTCCCCAAAACAAAGAGCACAAACAAAAGCCTCCCCTCCCACCAAGATTTGAAAGTATCTTGTCCCCTTATTGGTCCTTTGGGTCAGATGCCAGCCAGGTTACCTGAGCTTCTTAACCCTTTACAGGTAAAAGGATTTTGGAGTCTCTGGCCAGGAGGGATTTTATAGTACTGTACACAGGACAGCTGTTACCCTTCCCTTTACAGTTATGACATGGTGTAAAGAGCTTCTACATCCATGGTGGCCAGGATGGTGTTTTCAGGAAGATCACCAATTAAGTATATGCTTAAAGGCAAGTACTTTCCTAAACCAGGGCCTATATTTATTCAAAGTTTTATTATAAAAGCTTTTCTTTCCTGGTACATAAAAAACAATAAAGTTTATAACTTCCTTGATTTAGAAAAGTAAAAAAAAAAAAAATCATTCCATATGCACTAAACAAGGTATCCAGAAGGCCCTTGACAATTTTAGAAGTAAATATCCTACATTTTAGGAGGAAGCACTATAAACGTTGGCTGTTGAGGACAATTTTTCAAAGATACGCAGGTGCCTAAAGATGTTCAAGAAACAGAAAGGAATCCACAGGCAGAAACATAAGGCAGGTCTACACTTAAAAAGCTGCATTGGTGCAGCTGTGCCAATGGGAAAGATTCTCCCATCAGCATAGTCAATCCTTGTCCACAGGAGAAGCGTACTAGGAAAGAGCATATCAGTCATTTCACAACAACAACGAAACAAAACAAACAAAAAAAAATCACAAGAATGTTGTAGTTATGTTGAGAAAGAAATTAAAAATCACAGGAAATTCAGAGTTAAGGTTAAAATTAAGAAACACAAACATTTGAAAATATGGAGATGAACAGAAAATGCATCCTATGAACCGTAACTCTTGCCTCATAACAATACCAGCCTCACACCTTTTCTGCTTTCTTACTTGTTTTGCAACATCTATTACTTTTGTAAAAGCAGCAAAGAGTCTTGTGGCACCTTATAGACTAACAGACATATTGGAGCATGAGCTTTCGTGGGTGAATACCCACTTCTTCGGATGCATCCAATACGTCTGTTAGTCTATAAGGTGCCACATGACTCTTTTCTGCTTTTACAGATCCAGACTAACATGGCTACCCCTTTGATATCTGTTACTTTTGTATCAAAGACTTTTGTCACGGGCCCTAAAATGAACGTAGTTGCATATAACGGAGAGCATAATGGGGCCAGCATAAGAATCAATAGCTTGAGTCTCAGGCCCCAGGTTGAATTTCCAGGGCTGGCAGTTAGAAAAAACTTTACCTGTAAACTGAGTATAGTTGATGTGGAAGTCACTGAGGGACAAGACCCTTTTGGTGCCATTTTTACAGTCATTTTTTCAGGATCAACTAGCTTATAAGTTATGGGGAAATTACTGCCACAGAATAAGGAACCAAAAATATTGTTCCAAAGAAAAGTTTTATATTTTATGTTTCTAAGTTTGCTATTCCCTGTCTTGCCAGAACATACACATAAACAAGCAATAAGACATTTTCAGCACACCACTGGAAACTCACTTCCTCCATAGTGAGCTGTCATGGATTATGTTATCTCAGGTAAATGACTCACAGCTGAGGTATTCAGTTGACTGATGTTTTAAAATTCATAGAAAATAGCCATTTGCAAACGTGGGAGTACTCAGCCTATTGAGGAAAACAGTTCCTGTGGAGAATGGCCACAACTGAGGAAAGAGATGTGCTAAGAGGCCAAATTCATACTTCATTGGAGTTGCATCAGACATCTATTTAGCACAAGATGCTTACTCCAAGAGAATATTTCAGCCCTTGCTACAAGACAAAATAACTCCCAAGGAAATAAAATCATAGAATATCAGGGTTGGAAGGGACCTCAGGAGGTCATCTAGTCCACCTCCCTGCTCAAAGCAGGACCAATCCCTAACTAAATCCCTAAATGGCCCTCTCAAGGATTAAACTCACAACCCTGGGTTAGTGGAGGGGGGCTGGGGACGGGTTCAGGATGTGGAAGGGGGATCAGGTGCGGGATAGGGGTGAGCTGAGGGCTCTGGCTGTGGGTACGGGCTCTGGGGGTGAGGCCGCGGTGCAGGGTTTGGTGTGCAGGAGGGGGCTCTGGGATGGGACACAGTGTTGGGGTATGGGAGGGAGTGAGGGCTCTGGATGGGGGAGCAGGCTCTGGGGTGGGACCGGAGATGAGGGGTATCTCCAGTCTGGAGCACCAGGTTTGGGTGTGGGAGAGGGCTGTGGGGTGAGGCAGGGGGTGCGGATGTGGGAGGGGGTATGGGCTTTGGCCTGGGGGGTGCGGGCTCCATGGTGGGGCCAGAAATTAGGGTTCAGGGTGCAGGAGGGGGAACTGGTATGGGGTAGGGGGTTGGAGTGTGGGGGGTGAGGGCTTCAGATGGGGGTGCAGGCTCTGGGGTGGGGCCGGGGTTTGGGGTGCCCGAGGGGACTCTGTGCTTGGGCAGGGGCTTGGGGTGCAGGAGGGGGTGCTGGGTGCGGGCTCTGGGCAGCACTTACCTCAGGCAGCTCCCAGGAAGCTGCCAGCATCTCTTTCCGGCTCCTAAGCGGAGGCGCGACCACATGACTCTCCATGGTGCCCGCACCTACAGGCACTGCCCCCTCAGCTCCCATTGGCCGTGGTTCCTGGACAACGGAAGCAGCTGAGCTGGCGCTTGGGGTCGGGGGCAGTGTGCAGAGCCCCCGTGGCTATCCCTCCACCTAGAAGCCAGAGGGAGATGCTGGCAGGTTCCCGGAAGTCGCATGGATCCAGATAGGGAGCCTGCCGGTGCTGCCGATCGGACTTTTAAGGGCCCGCTCAGTGATGCTGACTGGAACCACCAGGGTCCCTATTCGACTGGGTTTTCCGGTCGAAAACCGGACACTGGCAACCCTATCTGGAAGGGTTAAGGAAGCTGAGAAAAGGCCAGTTGGTGTGATTGGCTGCACAGGAGGAAATTTGACTGGAGAAGCAACTCCATGGTTGAAAGATGAAGCTCAGATGAGCAGGTGTGGGCTGGGCTAATATAAAGTTGGGAAACTGGCAACAGAAAGGGGGCTACACTGAAGAGGTTTGTGGCTCACCCTCTGTGCATTAGAAAGGGAAGGAGGGAACTCAGGGAAAGAAAAGGACCCTGGCCCTGTGGGAAGGGTGTCCTGAGAAGAGTAGAGAAGAAAGTTTGTGGAAGACGGGGTAGGAAGCAGCCCTGAGACAGAGCAGCAAGACCTTGGCTGCATATTGTAGGGTCCCTGAGCTGGAATCCAGAGTAGTGGGTGGACCTGGGTTCCCCTACTAGCCACTTAAGGAGTGGCAGTGCCTGGGCAGCGGTTCTAGTGAGACTCTATGCCCTGGAAGAGGAAACCACATAGCGGTCTGGCCGGAGGGCCAGGTCATGAAGAGGAAGTCAGTTCTGGTAATGAGAGACGGTTGCAGAGTGTGAGAGAGGACAACGGATTGAGAGATCACAAGGGGAGGTGTTGGACTTGGAAGAGAGCTATTCCCCAAAGCAGCCATGAGGAGGCACCCCCTGCAGTGAGTGAGTACATGACAAAGATAGACAGAAATTACAATGTTACAAAAGAGGGCTTAAAATAGTTCTGATGAGTTTGAGACTTGAGAATGCAGCATTAATTCTTTAATATAGAATACTGTGTTTGATACAATTATCTTCAAGTAATGGATGTTTTGCTACTTGAGGCACATCTCCATAAAACCCCGAGGACTAAAATGTTGGAAGCATTTTGATTATGTAGTCAGTCATCTCATATAAATTATTTTACACCATCAGGTACTGAACAATAGCACAGGAGCTTCTGGGGGAAGGTTCGTAGGATTGTGGGGAATACAGAGCTGACAATAACTAAAAAGGTAAGAATAAATGCCAAAGGAGCATTTTTGTTGAATATTTTTTCTCAACGTTAAATGAAAACCCAAAATAGTTTTTATTTATGAACATTTTCTCTGCTGTTGACTTTTTAAGTAATCCACCTCTACCATTGTCTTTGTCATTGTCTTCTGTATTGTATTCTGTATGCTCTGTTTTGTAGTGAATCAAGCTAATAAAAATATAGGTTCTAAGTAAAAAATAATAAAATTTCTGCAAGATGATGAAGAATAAGTCACTTTACAGTTCCCTAGTCTCTTTCACTTCCCTTCCATATTCTGCCACTCTGCTAGGAAAAGCAAGACCTTAGTCTATTTCTTTTGTCTTTTTAAATAGAAGGCATATTGCAAGAGAAATTATAGTTATGCTACAAAATATAACACTAGCTGTCAGGGTCCGATCTTTTGGAAGTCAATGGGACTTTTGCACATTTGCTTCAATACGAAAGTGTTAGTGTCTCTAGAGTCCTAAGAGAGAGTTGCTCTAAAATGTTGAAACTCTTGGGCAGGAGAAATTATATAAAAATAATTCTCTGCTAATTGAGATCAAAACTAAGTGGTAGTTGGTGGAAGGAGGGGGAAAAGCAGTAGACTAAGGACTAGATAATGGCTCTTAAAAGTGGAATGTGTAGAGTTTTACTACCTTAAGAGGACTTCAGAAGACATTGTGCCTGCTGGATGCATTCTCTTTGTGAGCTGCTGGTGGGGGTAATTGAAATGCCTGGGTTTTGGTTTATAAACATTGTGCTTCTAAATGCCCACGTGCAGAGGTGACCCCTCCTCTCATTGAAGGTATGTTTTGCTGACAAAAAACTGCTTAGATTGATCAAAGTAAGATCAAAATACTCCTGGAAAATGTATTTCCCCACCCCAGTGTTCAAAATTTGTGAGTTCCATTTTACATGTGAAACTTCTCACACAGCGCCACTATTTCTCAAAATTAAACTGCAGGCCTAGACTCAGTCACAATACAGCTAGCCTGGTGAGAATCTCTTTAAGCAATATTAAAACATACATTTGTGTTTTCCTTGCTAATACCTTTTAAGAAATTACATCAATTTGTAGTCAGCTATCTCATATTTAATAGGCCCTCAGCATTACTGTTTGCTAATTTGAGAACTTAAACTCTCTTCAACTCTTTTGAGGACATAAATGTGCTGTTTAAAATAGTCAATGAAAAGTGTAGCATCACTGCACATGCCCCCAGAAAATCTGAAGGGACCAAAAATCACATCTGTCCTCAAGAGTGATGGAGCTGCCCATATCTATTACCATCAATGACAGCACTGCCAAGTTCAGCATTAACCTCCCTTTATATTTAATTACTGCCTATCACTCCAGGGAAGTTCTAATTGGACAGCTGTGTGAAACATTGAAACATAGCCAGCTTCTGTCCTGCCAAAATGGGAACAAAATTAACTAAAACCTAGGAAATGCTGCTTTGAACTTCATTTCTTTAATGGGCTGAGGATGTCTTTATGCAAATATTCGTAACCTGCATAATTACAAAAAACAGTTAATATAAATGATGCATAAAATGTACAATAAACACAAATATCGGATCTTCTATTTTTCCCAATTCACCATATTCAAAGTGGATAGGCCAAATTCACCCTTTCTGAAATAATTGGTGTTACACCATGGATGACTATGGCCCTGTGTTTAAGTGATAGGAGGGTGATGACTAGAGCAGGAAGAACATAACAAAACAGTTCAGTTGGCAAAATATTCATATAATTTTAAACAATTTTGGTTCAGTTGCATTCATGTCCCTTTTCTATTCACTTTCCATAAACATTGTAAGGCAAAATTCATCCCTGTGCAGGAATCCAACACAAGGCATACATACCTCTAAAGTTCCACATATCTATTTTGAGCACTTAATTGTGGCATTTGTCTTGTGTTGATTCTCTGCACAGAGGTGGACTTACCCCCAATGGACAATATTACTAGCACAAATATTCATGAAAAATTAATTTGAAGCTGGATTGCTCAAGCATTTGCTAAAAGCCTGTGTTTAATTTCATAAGTAACCTACAACAACTGTGTGAATTTTTAATTCCACACTCATGTTGAATCTGAAATTCAAACTATTGGTTACTAAACTAATCAAATCAGGGAACAGAAGAAACATTACTAATGGCACTTGTAACTAACATCTCACATTTTGAATATTCACAATGAAGTATTTGCAAATGCTCTGAAGTGCGTGAACAATTTAGAAAAAAAATGATTAAATCTGTGATTTTTGCAATTTGTGAACAAAATAAAGAGGGTAATTTATGTTTGTTATGAACTAACCCAGTGGCAGTGGTAACAAAGGTTGAGTCTTGTGCAGCACATATGGTAGGTAGCATTACAATTGTGGTTTTGGAGCAGTGTAACAAATCAGTGGCTATCTAGGAATTTCAGAGTTGTCACTGTGCTCTATAACATGACCATAAACATCTTGTCAACAATACAATGAAGAGAACTCAGATCTTCCTGCTACAAAAGCATTTACCTTTTGTGCTAAGGCAGAATAGTCCAGTGCCTATGACGCATACTTGAGCATTTTTGTTTCTGTCCATTAGTGACCAATGCATGCAGTTTAATCAGTTCATTGCAATACCTAGCCCAATGTAGTGAATTAAAGGGGGAGTAACAGCTTAATGAATGAATTGCTCTACTGCATAGTATTTCCAACATATTAGTGTCACCTGCATTCATTTGGTTGTAATGTGCTCCAGGTTTTACCTGTTTTCTTTTTAAAAGGTGCAGCCAAAAGATACATCATGATAGATTTAAAGGAGCCTGTCACAGGTGAGCTAGTCTGTGGGTTAGGTATCCAGCCTACGTATGACAGGCTCCACTAAAGAGAATGAGTCAACCCAATTCCACCTGTGCATTGTTAATTGCCTAGGTGACTGGGCAGCAATTAATTAGCTAAGGCACACTGGACTAATAAAGAGTCAGTCAGGAAGCCCCAGAAAACAGACAAAGCTCCTGAGGAGAGCAACTTCTCAGGGGAGCTGATTAGACATCTCACTAGGCAGGGAACCTGGGAAAGAGAAAAAGATACTCCAGGAGGGAAGAAGTTCCAAGCTACCAAGCCCCGGGGAGATCTGGTCCCAGACAAGAGACCTTACCAGACAGTGCAGCATTACAGAGGAACTTCATGGTGCTTTGGAAAAACACCTGCAGTGGTTTGACCTCTGCAGAGGCCCTGAGTGCAGAGACTGAATGCTTCTCCAGGTGATTGCAAGAAGTCTGATTCCAGGGGTGTCAAGAAGGCCTTACCGGCAGAGGAGATGGATGGACTCAAGGGGGAACACCAGACAAAAATTAATCTCCTGCTCTTCTCCTCCCCCCCACCCCCCCACACACACATTCTCCCACCCAGCTAGGATGCTATTATGATCTGCTGAGTAGATATCCAGTCATGGACTTTAAAAAATACAGGCAATGTAAATGCCTATTTGAGGAGTACTTACAAAAGGCATTCTTGACCAAGTAAGCTGTAACAGCTCCAGTCTGTTGGGGGAAATACATATTTAGAGTCTACTTAAAATGCAAATGATTGACCTAATAGATCTGAACAAGATGCTATGAAGTGTTACATTATGTCATGGAATCCATGTCTGGGGACTTGTTGGCTGAAGGCTACTGTATCAAAGCTGCTTTGGAAACTGTCCTTTATTAAACAAATTTCTCACACAAACTGTTAGACAATATAGTAGTGTTGGGTTCTGTTACACAGCAAATTGTTGTCAGGGCTCTGACACAAGTGCACAAATGCAGTAAAAAGAAATCTATAGCTTAAAGATTCCTCTCTAATTTTGTTTAAAATAGAGGTGAATATATAGTAACTACTTTTCCAGATGATTATGCATTAATCACTTGGGTGTACAGATCCAACTTCAAATTGAAACACTTAGCTTAGTATGGTGCTAGCTCTTACAAAGCACTTTTTATCAGTAGATCTCCAAGTGCTTTATAAAGGAGGTGAGTATCATTATCCCCACTTTGCAGATGGGGAAGTTGAGGCAGAGAGCAAGGAAGTGACTTGCCCAAGTTTACCCAGCAGGCATGGGGCACAGCTTGGAATAGGATCCGTATCTCCAGAGTCCTAGTCCAGTTCTCTAGCCATTAGGCCATTGTACTGTGTGATATTTGTTATATAATCAGGAAGTAGTATCACAGGCCCCAATTCATGAAAACACTTAAGCACCTGTTTAAGTATATTCTTAAGTTCCATCAACTTCCATAGGACATAAAGGTTGATTTTTAGCATCCTGTTGTTCTAGTTGGACGGCATATTCATTGTATGCTTCTACATTGGAAATCAAATTCCTCATGGCACTACAGTAGACATTATGATCCATAGTTATTTCAGATTTTATTTATATATTTCACTTAAGCTTCTGTTTGGTGTTGGACAAATCTTACCAGGCTTGGAAAATAAGAGCAAAGGTGAAGGATAAATCTTTTGCAATTTTTTAAAACTTAAATCAGAAGTGCTTCAATACAAAATTATTTTTTCAGTGCAACGAATGGTTTTAACATAAGACCATGAGTATAAAAAAATCTTTGATATATATGATACAATCTTTTGTTTATCACACATCATAGTATAATAGATACTAGACTTTCAGGTCAAATGTCAATGTTTCTGTCTCTGCAACATACTAGCCTTGCTTTCACCATTCTTCTTAGCCAAAGGGCTAAAGGACAGCTTTTAGCTTCTAATCATTATGTACCAGGTTGCACCAAGTACACCATTAACCTTCTTCTATTTTAAATTATAATACATATGATTACACATGCTCCAGTTATAGCAAACCAATAAAATGTCAGTACTGCTTTTGAAACAGTGTTGTAGATTCCCTTCTTATTTTTGAATTTATAAGAGATTGTTATTCATGGCCTGGATTGATAAAACTGTATAGATGATATCAGAAAATAAGTAAGCGAGCATTTTATTGTTCATGAACAGAGACAGTCCTCTTCAGGCTTTGTTTCTTTTAAGACTGGGTGAGAACATCAGACTAAAAAAATGCAAAAACAATTTGTTGGTTTTTTTTTTTAAATTAGGAAAGTCTGAACAATGGAATGGAACCTTAAAATGGGTGTAAATCGAATATATGTACATTACATTTATTTTCACTGCAAAGCCCCCTTAACAATGACAGAGTGCTGTAGAGGAGCCTTACTGTAAATAAGACTCAGTCCCTATGTTGTTTTTTTAATAATTGGGCAAAATTCTCCTTAGTTGCATTAACACAAAGCCATCAAAATTCCTGCAGTAACAGAAAGGAGAAGTTGGCCTCTCTAAAATATTTTGGGTTTGATCAGTGAAATAAAATGGAACTCATTTTTGTATATACTTAGGTTTATTCCTGGAATGAGCTGACGTACATCATCCGTTGCATCTTCAATGTGTGCTCCATCATGCTGCTCTCTTCAGGGTGCTGGACACAGGAGATGAACCATTCTGCATCTGTACTGATTGACAGAGTGGCAGCATTCCACAAAGCTTTCTGAAACAAGAAGGTGAATTGGCTTTGTTCCTTCCATGAGCGTCAAACAGGATGAGAAAGGAGGAGAGAAATCCGGTTTAGCCCTAAATGTGGGCTCAGTTGTGCCACTTAGACAGAAATCTATGTTGAGGATGGGCTGAGCTGCACTGCCCCAGAAAGAGCACAAGGAGGCAGACTTCCCTTGGAAGCTCCCTTGTGCACAGGTGCAACACACAAACTGTTACACACTCCAGCATACTCTGCTGCCTCCCCACCCCCCCACACAGTTGCTGGCCCATTGAGAGATGGAACTATGACTCCATACTCCAGGCCTCTTTGGGGAGCATATGGAATACAGTTGTACTTGGCACTTATGCAAGCTGCACATGCTAGTTAGTGGGGGTTTAGGGGAAGGAAGAAAAGAGAGGTTCCTTGTTTCCCTATTTCCCTGCTATCCTTCCCCTCCCCACAATCCACAAATAATCTGGTCCTGTGGTATTTATATTTGGCATTTGAAGTTAGATTTCATCAGCATTAGCCTTCAAAGTACCATCCTTATTTTTAGAACAGCTTAAAAATATGTGAAAATATCCATGGACCACTTTGACATCTGAAATCCCTCAGTAAATGGGAAACTTCTTATTTTCATTGTGTGTGTGTCTCTCTCTCACACACATACGGGAATGTTTCATGCTTTGATTACTCTTCCTTTGAATCTGATGGGCAGTGCACAGCTAAATAGAGGAGACATAGGCCAAGCTTTCTGAACTGTTCAGTCCAGCTGCAGGGCGTTACAAATGTTTTACCCCAATCAGTAATACTTGAAAATGTTCCCTATGGTGATGATAGTGTCCCCAACAATCAGACTGGAATATTCCATAAGGAGCTCCCCAAACTGGATTGTTTATCTTTTTTGTTTTTGTCTTTGTCTTTCCTAAAATCACTTTGTCCAAACTAGTATTTAATTTTCAAATGTGAAAAGCTATGTGTGCAGAGGCCAAATTCTAATGTCTTGATCCTGTAGCTGGATAGATGTGAGCAGATGCAAATGCAGGATCAAGGCCTGTGCATGGCTGTCCCAGTTAGCTAGGTCTTTTCTTTTTGACTAACAGGAGACATTTACTTTGCTTTGGATGAGTTTATGAGCAATGTCAATGAAACATGACAGCAATTCAATGTTTCACATTAAAGGCTAAAATAAATGAATACTAGGTAGCAGTAGTGAGCTGCAGTGTTTCTCAACTACCCGTCCACGGACTTTTGCCAGTCCTTGAAATCTCCCTGATGCAGGTTAGGAAGGCATCAAGCCCATCTCTGGTATCAAAAAGGTTGAGAAACACTGCTAGTGCATAATCACCCAGTGCACAGTGATTGTGTGCTCTGCCATTGTGCTTGACAGACTATTGTACTGTGTTACTTGCACAGACAGATTCCACTCCACTTCACTGGAGGGGCTTCATCAACTCAACCAATTCAGCAGCTCTGGATCTGGTACAGTCACATATATCAGGCAGGGGCCAGAGAATTTGATTTGCCTATCACTGGCAGGTACATCTCTGATTTGTTTTAGATGATCAACAAAAATGCTAGCTCTGGATGGGCCAAAGTCTCATGGATTTCACTGGGACTCAATCTGGGTGAAGCTGCAAACTTTGGCACTTTCCCATGTGACTAATGCTTTCTGTCTTGTGTTTGTCCTTGGACCATGCAAAGTAGGATCATATGTAATTTGCTCATTAGCATACTTAACTGTTCCTAACTGCACCATGGGGCACATGCTTCCACATTTCCTGCAACTAGGATTTCAGGTCCTAGACGGACTTCCAATGAAGGTATTCTAAATTCTTTGAAGAGGAGAAATACATCTTGGTAACTTTGTACATCACTATGTTTTGTTTTTTCTTGTAGAGAGCTATGAGGATTTGGTCCAAAAGACACAACTAATGTCTTTAAGGGATCAACAGTGTCCAATTATTCTCCTGTGGACTGTCCATAGCAGTGTCTCAGAAATTACTATAATGCTACTATTCCCACTATATATCCAGTACTGAGATCTCTTGTATCTCCCTCATTTCAAACTCCCCTGCAGGACCAGATCTGAAAATATGTATTTTGGTCTATCTTAGGCATTGCTATGGTATTGATACAGTACATGTAGTACTGTCTGAATCTCTAATTGTATTTTTGCTACACAAGAGACCTGTGTCTTGATGGAATGAAATGATTTTCTGTTGCCATATGGCATTCATTCCCTGAGGTGAAAATGAGCACAGTCAGTACCACCTGGGACAAAATGGAAAATGTGCATAACTTGCTCTTGGTAGCTGTCCAGTGGAAAGTTAGTATAATGTCTGACCTCCTACCCATGGCACTCTAAACGACTGTCTGCAGATGTCAACTGCCAAGCAGCTTCTGATTCCTATTATATTGTTGTGTTATTCCCCGAAGGGTGTCTGTTGCCAGCATTCTTGGACAGTGGTGACTTTCAGAACTCTGTAAACTGGTCTATCCCTAATTTATCATTTTTCATTTCTGTATACACTTCCTAGTTCGTATAGACTGAAAGCAGAAATAAATACCCTGAGAGAAATTATTCTTTCTTGTATTCTCTACATGCTTAGAATTGAGAAGTTTGGATCGCTTATAAAACACTTCACCCTTCAGTTCTCAGCTAGAGAAATGCACTGTTAAGTTTAAAAGTTTAGGCCTGACAGTAACATTTTAATGCTTAGTTCAAATCTAATCAAGAACCAAATGTTTGTGCATCACTCAATTTCATGGCTCTGAGTGCAGTAACAGGGGCAGGTGTTGTCTGTTCCTGCTGAGCATTTTCAAAGAAAGGAGGTATTGGGGCTCTCAAAAGTTTCACCTGCCAAAAATTGCACCTGGCATGAGGAATATTTTGAGAACTCTGCCCAGACAATGGTCTGAACAAATGTATGCGTGTACCAGGGAAATAGAGCCCTAAATGTCTTGCATTAGAAATTATGCCTAAAGTAATATCTCCACCAGTTGTCCAGCCCACACTATCTGCTCTGTATAAATCACTACATACCTGGAGCCAGAGACAAACCTTGACCATAGGTTTTTGGCAGTAAGCAGTATATTCCTACCTCACAATCAGGAAGAAGGAAAAACTAAAAAAAGGGAGGTCACTTGCCCGGCAGAAAGAAGAGCCCTACTGGATCTTTTGTCAGATCCCCACAGGGGAATTTACAAGAGTATAAAGGAGATGACAAATTGGATCACAACATTGTTCCATCCACTACTATATCCTGAGTAGCACTTGGCAAAAAAATTTCTACCTAATCTTTTTTGGGCAAAAAATGCAGATTCAGGTCGACCACAATATCCTGTGACTTTCATGAAAATGTCACCTGTTTTGATGGGGTGGGGGGAGTTTCATTTTAACAATCTGCAGCAAAATGTTTTGATTTTTTTTCAATTTCAGTGACTGACTCCAACATTTTTTTTATTTTATTTGAGCATTTTAATTTTTTAATCTAATCACTCTTGTTTTGGACCGTATTAAATATTTCATTCAATTAGAAGTAATTTTTTTACTTTACGATTTGCTGAAAAATATTTTAAAAATCATGTTTTGGGGTTGACCCAAACCAATTTTTTGGTTTACTAGAAATTAAATAAAAAAAAAAAATACACACAGTTCCTATCCTGACTCTGGCAATGGTCAGTACCAGGTGCTGCAACAGAAGGCAACCTTCTTCCCAGTCACCACTACATGGCATCTAGCCAATTGAGCAATGGTGCAAATGTAAGACAGGAGAAAGGGAACTCTTCACTGACTGCTGCAGGTAATCAGTTTATGTCCTGGAGAATAAGATTTGATTACTCTGATTCTTACCTGAATTTACATAACTAGATTTTACTCTTTTCTTACTGTTTTGCATTGTTCTTTTGTGCACATGATGCTTCCCTCTCACATGTCCATTCTTCTTACTTCCTAATCCCCCTCAATTCTTCCTCTCCCTAGACATTTGTATCTCTTCATCCTGTTTCTGGCCTCTTGATGTCAAAACAATTCCTCTCTCAGTTACTTGAGGGAAAAGCTTGAATCATTATATTGTATGGATGCAATAGCTCAATAAAGGTAAAATTAACCCAAATGTGGAGAGTCCCACAAGACATGCTGCACCACTGAATCCTTAGTGGTTGTGTAAGCACTGTATAAGAGCAGGGTATCGTCATTTTGCTTTTAAAAATGGCTAGTGCAGCTCATTTTCTGAGTGTGGACTGAGCTACCATATTCTCCACAGAAAGCCCATTTAATTTGGTTTTGTGTAGGAAGGAGAAAATCTCCTTGTTTGGGTGGGGGAGGAGTGCCTGCAAAGTTCTTGCAACAGGACCAAGCATCATTAGTAATGCTTCTGCAACCATAATGGCATTTAGCTAATTATGCTTTTTTAAAAAAAAACTTGAACAAAAGGAAATGTGAAGACAGAAACGGCAATTTGCCTTTTAAGCATCTGCTTTGGATAATTATTTTGTATTCAAATGAACATAACATTTACATTTTTGAATGCTTGCCTCAGGTGCGTTGTGAGTCACAGAGCCAAAGACCTTGAGCTGAAATTGAATAAAACTTCTTTTGTCAGGTTTTATATTCAAATTAGTGATGAAAGCACCAATATTCTTAATTAAAAAAACAACCAAAGTTTTCTATTGTACTTTCAAGGGCTCACTTATTTTGGATAAAATATATTTAAGCAATTTTATTTTTATTAAATTAGGTCTGAATTCTCAGTGATGCTGAGAATGGGAATTGCAGGGGCTGAATACCTTTCAGAATCAAGCAATTTATTGGGATGTGATCAGTTCCCATAAACTCAGAGATAATCTTTCCTTTGACTTTGAAGGAGTTGAACTGGACAACTGAGCTGAGGCCCTGATCCTGCAATGACTTATGCATGTGCCTAATGTTTATAAGCACTATGGGTAGCCTGACTTCTGTAAGACTACTACAGTATCGGTTTTGTTTGGGGTAAACCTAGTTAGGGGTCGAGTGTAAATGCTACCTTATGTTCAGGTAAATGTAAAGAAGCCATTTTAATCAGGTGGATAAAACAGGTAAGTGGTCTTGACCCTAAACACAGGCCCATGGCTCATGCCAAAACAAAGACACATCCAAAGCCACTCAGAAATTTGACTTATATTTGGGTATGAGAGGGGATTGGGGGAGTGAGAAGTAGCACCAAGAGACAGAGGCAGAAAGAAAGCCAAGCGGCCACCACCTGGAAGTGTGATGAACCTGGTAAGCAGGAGACTTAGTCCCATCAACCCTTTTCCTATTGCACATCCACCTGTAGAATGGGGGCCCAAATGTCCAGTCAGAGGAGCTGCCTTAAACTCTCCTTTAAAAATGTAAATCTTGTGTTTTAAAGGGTAACCTAACATTTACGGGCACTATTCTCAGCTGCACCAGAGCTCTGCTCAGCACAGTAGAGAGAGGATCTGGTGCCAGAAAGCTCCCTGACTTGGGGGACCAGTCCCAGTGTAACTTATCAGTACTGTTAGGCATGCAGGTCTAAATGACAGCACTGATACAGGGTGGACCTTATGCCAGGGAAGAAATGGCACAGCAAAGCTCAGAGCGGCTCCCTCCTCAACACTGAGGCAAAGGTGCACACAGCAGAGCTTTTCTACACCTAAGAAATTATGTACTGACCAGCTGTGGCCAAGGTTGCAGCCCCTTTACTCCACCTGAGTGGCATCAAGGCCATACACTCACTAGAGAATTTTTTCCTTCATATTTCCTCCTATTCCAGCATATGCCAATAAAAACAACATAGAATTGAAGCGTGCAATGGTGCAGCCATGGATGTCAGTGCTTTCCAGGATCAGCTGCTAAAAGAGCTAGATTTCATTGAAATGTTTAACTCACAGGGTATAATGCATAGGTGACAATGCAAATATGGCAGCTAACCACTATAGCTGATGTAAATGTACCAGTGCGTGTAAATATACCTTAATGCTGGCACCTCTAATGATATTTTACCAATTTTAGTGCTAAAACGGAAGCTGTGAAGCCAGTGGAAGAACTCTGGGAAAGCTAGGGATTACCTATTCAAATACGACTCAGTTACTTGTTTCCCAAGTGCCTCAGGGGATACAAGGGACAGCCCTTCTGGATATCAAGAAGGAGTATGTAGACACTGTGTCTGAAACACTTAGTTGAATGAAATGTCTTGAGGCTGAAATTGCAAGATTAAAGGGACACTGATTTTTAAACAGAGTAACTTTTTTACAAATTCTGTTTCTGAGGGAGCGCTTTTTAGTAGTGTGGCTTATTTGATATTTGAATCCTTAAAAAACTTGTAAGGGATTTCCTGCTTGCCAGTTTGTATTTATAGGGTCTTTTCTGCAAGTGGGAAATGGACATACTAGAGGCTTGGTCTGAAGTCAATGGAAAAGTTTCAATAGGCTTTAATTCAGGCCTTAGCCGACTACCAGTGAATCACTGAAAATGACTATAAACAAAGTGTTATCAATTGTACAAGGTTAAAAAAACTGAAAGATAAAGGAAAGCATTTTTCCTTGCTGATTTGCAATCCCAAGTGACCCTGGCAACAAGGATAGATGCAAAAACTTCAGAAAGAAATATTTGTCAAGTTGACAATGTGTCTTTAATACAACAAAAGGATCCGACTCGCCTCTGTGGGACTACTCTCAGAGCTGAAACTTTTGGAGTTTCTTCCAAACTCTTCTTTGGTGGGAAAGGAGAGCTTTCCCTCCCTCAGATAGAAGAGATTGGGGTCCTACCTCCTAAACACCCAGATCCCAGGAGGCTTGTGTGGATCTTCTCTTTATAGAGTCCTCTCTCTTCCTCATTGCTGCCTGGTGGCTCCTGGACAGCAAGCCTATTGCAGAAGTACATGCCTGACCACTGGCTTCTCCCCAGAAATTCATTGTGTGGGGCTTCCATTGTGTGTAGGAGGGATCCGTACAAGTCCCTACAGATTTTTGGACGCAATCATTTGCTTTGGTTTCCCCCTCAGGTCGTTGACAGCAGAAATATGCAAATCATGACATGTCCCCCACCCTCAGGTCTGTAGACATATGAAAGGGCTTCTTTGGGGCTGCTGGGACAGGAGGGCATGTGGTGAAGTGAGCTGTTCCCTTCCTATGGTGCCCAGGCTCAGAACCATGGGGCAGAACTGTTCCCCTCTGTTTGTGGAAGTGGGGAAACAGGGTAATGAAGAGCATATAGTCCATGATCTGGTGTTTTGTTTTTTAATGTTCATGTTTATTTACTGCTCATGTGATTGGTGATAGAGGACTGGGATTATCAGTCCTATTTAGTAGCATGGTCAACCCCTGCAGTAAGTTTTGCCACCTATGTGCCAGTTTTGATGGTGTTTGCAGATGTTCCACTGAGAACTGAACTGAGGTCACAGACTCATTTCACTAGTCCCATTAGATGGTGATGCCTTTCAGCATCTATTGTCCCAAATTACATTTCAAGCAGTGGCATGGAAGTGAAAGCCATTGATCCAATCAGACCCCCATTTGTTTGTTTTTTAATTTCTATTTGTGGTAGTGTAACACACTAACAGTAA